GGTCTGCAGTGGTCTGTGCCTCTGGACACCCCCTGCTCCCCCAGCCCCGGCAGAGTTGGGGGTATTTGGGCAGCAAAAGCTTGTGCTGAGGTGAAACGTGTCCGGGCGTGGGCATCAGAGGTGCTGCCCTGCGGGTACCCGAATTCACAGCCCGGGGAAGGAGGGAGCGGAGGACCTGCTTACTCTGTCTGCTGGCTCGAGTCTTTCAGTCCTGTGCTCGGATTTGTAAGGGTCTGGGTTCCTATGAAAGCAAAATGAAAGGATGTGACAGATCCCCCCCATTCCAGGGGCTGTGAAGTTCTTCTCTTTGGGTGTCCATCAGCTCTCAGAGCTGGTGTTGGTTCTAGGATGTTGTTTAAACAGTGTCCAGTAACACAGCTCAATGGGGACCAGAGGCAAAGAGTCCTGATCTCAGATGGATAGAGAAGTGGAAGTTGAGCAACCCTACAGGCTGCACTTAGCCCCCAGCCTCCCGGGCGAGCTGGGACACTTGCAGGGGAGCTGTGGGGCAGAGCATCTGCTCAGCAGCACCAGTGGTTAAGCCGTGGGCTGGGCTGGTGTATTGGTCTGCAGGAAAAGTATTAACGTGTGTAGTCTGCAGGGGAAACTGGGACTGGGATGGTAAAACATCATTGCAGGTGTGGGGCTGCTGGGAAGGGAGCTTGGGTTAGAGAGGGCGAGCTGGGACACTTGCAGGGGAGCTGTGGGGCAGAGCATCTGCTCAGCAGCACCAGTGGTTAAGCCGTGGGCTGGGCTGGTGTATTGGTCTGCAGGAAAAGTATTAACGTGTGTAGTCTGCAGGGGAAACTGGGACTGGGATGGTAAAACATCATTGCAGGTGTGGGGCTGCTGGGAAGGGAGATTGGGTTAGAGAGGAGCTACCAATTCACATCCCAAACCGCTCACTGGGGACTTGGACATGGCAGGGAAACGCTGTGGCTGCTGTTGTACTGGGAAACACGAGCATCCCTCACCTACCTTGGGTGTTGACTGAGGCACCTCGCCCAGGGACAGCTTCTGCTGAAATGCCGAGGGGGATGCTGAGGCTGAGCTGGGAATGTGCAGGGGGGAACGTGGGGCAGCTCCAGGGGTGCTGGAATGAGAGGGCAGCTCGAGTCAGCATCTCTGCAACATGGGCTGTGAGGAATGGAGGGGAGGGGGCTGTGGCTGGGTCAGGCTTTGTATCTGCAGTGACTGGGTGAAGAGCATCAAGGAGATGCCAAGAAACCATGGCAAATCCCCAGGGATCTGCTGCTTTGGCTGCAGCAACTCCAGAGCTCTGTGGGGAAGTGTGAGAAAACCTGCTGGCTTCTAGGGGGGTGCACCAGAACAGGACAAGGAACTCCCCTCACAGTGTCTTGAGGTCTCTTTGGAACAGAGGAGGACTTCTGGTGGCAGGGAGCTGGGTCCTGGCTTGGGTCTCTGCTCCCATTTGGCTGCCTTTGAGCAGAGGTACCCAGGGGCTGGGGGACTGGGGTGCTTGCCCCATTGCCCCTCTGCCCGGGCAGCCTCCTGCCCCTCGTTACCTCTGCAGAGCAAACAGGGGAAGGACCGTGCATGGGCCAGGTACCTGCAGATGCT